CAAAACAAAATAAGATTAAGGGTTGCACTCAAGTTCGAGTCCCCTCTCTATATATATTAGATAATTTATAATAATTTAAACTATCGCTTATATAAAAAATAAAAAACATAATGACCTTTTTAGATTGCCAATCACTTCATATTCCGTAATGTCAAAAGTAGTATATGAAATAGGAAATTCAAGTATTGAATGACATTATATAATGTCATGGGGTCTCCTATTATCAAGGTATGAGAATTCTAAAAGTACGTAGCTGACCTAAACCAAATTTTGTTCTAAAGTAATGTGGTCCATTTAGCATTGCACATGTGTACTTAGGTGAGATGGCAGTAATGCACCAAGGTCAAAGGTGGTGAAAAATATTTTCAAAAGAGAGTAGGACTTCTATTATCTCACATATGGTAAATTATTATCTTTATTTGTACTATTTCGTCTTTTCAAGAAATATTGTACAAAAGTATATTAAAACCATGACAAGAATGAATTACAAAAATTTCTTTAAATCAAATGGACAATGGATTTTGATCATTTGTGGATTGCGATGGGTGTTTCTTTTTTGGGTCTTTACAACCAACAAGCGTCTGGAAATTGCACTCCCTTAATCATTAAGGCTTAATGGCTGTATGTATGCAATTATAATCCACCAAATTAATTGACAATTTTAATTGGAGCCAGTTTCTCCAGCTTTTCAATGAGCCTAGTGTTTGAAGAGAAATTCTCATGTAATGGGAGGATAATACTTTTTGTTATTCCTGGCAAATAACGCAATGACATGTAGGATAACTTTTCCATGCGTCACTGTGTTATTGGCTAGGAATAACAAAACAATGATATCCGTGTTACATGTAAGTTTTTTTGCAGTGATTGAGAGAATGCAGTTAATGTCAGTATGCTAAAGTCCTTTAACAAAATATTTGATATCTAACCTCAAACTCAAAGTCGTAAATGTACGCAATGGCTGATAAAGCAAGTCACGCAATTCATTTCTTTTCAATTCTTTTCTCTGCCTTATTATCATCACATTGACTTTAGACTTTGGTTTTTCTAAAGCCGGTATCTTTAAATTAGACTAAAGTAAAATATTGTTTATATAAAAAATAAAAATAAAATAAAAAACCAGAGCATGTTACTCACGTGTTGTGACTAAAAGTTCACACATATATTCACGTCAATCAATTTATTTCATGAGTTTCGAGCAAAATGAAATAAATTCGGCTTCTAAAAGACTACTAAGAGATCCCAACCAATGCGAATAATAAAAATAAAAAACATTGTCTAAGTTCCATAAAACATAAATAAATAAATGCTTCACGTTGGTAAAGCCTGAACCTACAACATTGGGTGGCCCTAAATACTTTTTATTGGCCCTGTACGAAAGAATAACAGTATGGAAAAGTAATATCCCAAGCCTGTTTATGAGATTTATGGAATTAGGGATATTAACCAAATTCCATAAAACAAAGAATTCACATATTCATGCTTTAATTTAAGTGTTCAAAAACTGACACCGATCTATGAACAAAGTGACTTGTTTTGGAAGCATGCACAACGATTGAGCCAAGCAGTATGAACCTATATACCACGAATTAATCGATCCTTAACGAGCCTGGAACCTTGTGGAAACATCATATGAGGAGGAAAACTAGATCATGCAAAATATTATAAGAAAAACTTACTATGTTTTCCAACCACTCTGTTCTTCCACCAGACTGATCTCCTCCAATTAATGTTCTAGCCAAGCCAAAGTCTGAAATTTTTGGATTCATTTCATTATCAAGTAAAACATTACTTGCTTGAGATCTCGATGAATAATCCTTAGCCTGGAATCCTGATGGAGATAGAGGAGACCCCGAGCAACTCCGCAAATAATGTGGAAACGTTTAGGCCAATCTAACAGTAGTTCTCCTCTCACACTATCTGGCAAGTTTAATCCAAATCCAACTTCAGTTCAGAACTGTTTAAAAACCTACATATGAATTATATTAAAGTAATTAATTCTGCCTAAATTTATAAGGTACAAAAGGTCCAAACCAAAAATAAAGGAGTTCAGGCTTCTGTTGGGCATGTATTCATAAATCAGCATTTTCTCCTCTCCTTGAACGCAGCATCCAAGAAGCTTTACAAGATTTCGATGCTGAAGCTTTGCAATCAGTATAACTTCATTCTTGAACTCATTCAATCCTTGGCCAGAACTTCTTGAAAGCCTCTTCACAGCAATTTCTTGTCCATCTGGTAGTGTCCCCTGGAAATTTACAGTATTTCAAAATATTGTGAAACTCTGGATGTAGTTATTTTTTCTTAGTTTGGCCCTTAAAATACAAGTTACAAATTTACCCTGTAAACGGGTCCAAATCCACCTTCTCCGAGCTTGTTATCGCTTGAAAAGTTATTTGTGGCACTAGTTACTGTGGGCAGGTCAAAGAGCGGGAGCTCCAGATCCTCCTCTGGTTACCCTTCATTGTTCATATTTGTTTCACCTATCTCTGTTTTGCCACATGTATTAGAAATGGGGTTGATGTCAGTGATAGCTTATAAGTAAGAGTAAAGGAAACAAAAACTTATACATGCAAACTGTTAAAGTTTGTGTTTATCTGGGTATGAAAATGAAGAAGAAAGAATAAAACGATGATGAATGAAGAGTTCTCCTTCTCTCTGCAGAAAAGCAGAGAGGACTATATTTCTCTTAATGAAAAAATGAGCACGCCAAAGAGCATCTCATAACCGTTAGCCTTAGCTCCACACACGTCATATTAGATCTCAGCCTCACATCTGGCTATTCTTAAAGTTGCTACATATTGAAGGCCTCTCGCTTGTCATTTAACAGAAGGCATACACAATTTAAACACAAGGCTTATTTATCCTAAACTCAGATTAGCTCAATGCTTATACACCAACACAAACTAACTATGTACTAATTTAACCATCTCTTTTCACGAAATTAAACTCCATACAACTTTAAATCCCTTTCTGTCAAATATTCATCAAAATACAATCAAACAACACCCACAAATTTTTTGCAAAGATGGTCAAGGTAGTTAATGTACCTTTTAATTTTCTCCTGTTTCGGCGAAGGTAATATCCAACTAGAAGCACTACAGAAAACACTACTGCTACGGAAACTGCAATTATCATTGCTGTCTTCACTTTACCACCACTTTCTTCATCATGTTTGTATGATGCAGTAGAGAAGATGAGTAAAAAATGCAGCAAACAATAAAGGAAAAATCAGGTCAATGATTTAATTTAGATAGAAGAAAAATGGATTTCTTATCAAAACAACATGGAATCAACAATCGAGCTACATGTCACATAAAAAGTATTTAACAAGCAGCCAATGTTACAAACTTCCATACCTAATTCTGAAGCCGACATTCGAATATACTGATCCTACCCAGCAGCTGGAAACTGCCTGATATCTATTAGATCACCAAACCAGATGGCGCAGCGAGTACCTCCTCCTCTGATATCCGAGCTTGTATAAGCCATACAGGAACAGTTGTTCAAGCATTTGGTTCTGCATTCCTTGAGATTCATACTTTTGTTCACCCAAGAATGTGTAGTATCTGGCAGTTTCAAGCCAACAAATTTGACAAAGCCATCTTTATATTTTTCCTGGCAGCTTAATGGTTTATTGCGCACACATCCTAGAGACCAGTCCATCAAATTCCATTTTTCTTGAGACACAGGCCTGAATCCTTTTAGACATTGGCAGACTGGATTCTCATCAATGATACACTTTCCATTGGCTCCACAGAGGTCATAATAATCACACAAGTCTCTTGGTACTGATGAATAGGCCCTCCAAGTTTGATCTGCTTCAATCCACGTAAAGCGATCACGAGTACTGGTGGTTTGGTTCAAAACTATTCTTGAGATTACAGACTTATTTTTAAGGTTGTACATGTAGTACACTTCATCATCATTATTGACAAAGTCGAAACTATAAAGTGGATCAGGCCTTAATTCTGGTGAACCACTGAATCTCAGGCCATTCCATGGGCCACTACGATAGTATTTTGCAGTGCCTTTCCGAACATATGCCTCAGGATGAGTATCATGTTCCATTTCAATCCCATAAGTGAAATCTCCTGGACACGGGTCTTCTGAATTTTTCCAAGCTGATAAACTCCGTTTTATACCTGTCCTCAAGTCCCATCCAATCTTCATTCCTGGTAAGAACGTATCAGAAGGATAGTCAAAGCTTTGCCACAAATAGGGTCCTGCATCTCTTAGTACTAAATTCCCAGAATCTAAAAGCTCTACTGTTGCACTTGGGGCATGTTTAGCTGAGCTTATCCACCAAACAACACTCTTATTCTGACCTAACAGCAAAAGATGTCCTGTGCTGTTTAGCATCAAGATGCCGGAATAATCATTAATGGGGTTGCATCTGTTTGCAACCCACACAACAGTTCTAACTGGGATGTTCTTGTACCAAATTCCCAAGTAACGATTCTCGGAACTACCCGGACTGAAGAAACCAAGCTCGAAGCTTCCACCTTTTGAAACCAAGGTCGTTCCATCACGGATAGACTGGGAGGGACTAATGCTGTCAACTGCAAAGGAAAGTGTGAATAACAGAAAGAGCAAATTAGTACCGATCATAAACGAAAAACAAAGATGACCCATTTAGTTTTTGTTCTGGATCTCCCTTCCTACTGGTTCCATTCAAGTTAAAGGATAGAATTAGAAAACACCCCTGTGATTGTTAACTGAGAAGACCATGTATGTATCGTGAAGGACACGACAACTGATTGGTAAGTAGTATGCATTGAAAACATAGGCAACTTCTGATCTTTACAAAATGCTGACATATTTATCAAGAAAAGAACATTATATGCTGGAATTCACATAGCCAATCAAAGCATATGTATTTCTCAGTATGTTTTGAGTGCAAGACTGATAACCCAAATGACTGGTAAGCAGCCAATGCCATCCTCATTCAAACATCAAACGATGGTGGAAAAATTGCAAGTCAAAATTGAAACTTTTTTTGTTACCTTCACTCTTGATCGATAGATCACGTAACTGTGTAGAGATATGGTACAAACCAGTTGGCCAAATGAGCGCATCAATGCTTGGTCTCGGGCACCACCAATCAGCAAGTGAAAGACCAAAAACTTGTTTTAGTGAAGAAAGAATTTCCCTCCTTTCACGTTCACAGGTTGCGTCTTGCGGTTCATTCTCCAGCTAACAGTTCTGGTAATTAAGGTCACAATCAATAGAGGAATGTCTTGGGAAATAAAAAGCCAGAAAGAAATTTGAGTTTTTCGCTCAAATTTCCTTTTTCTTTCTTCCAGATTTTGAGCATTTCACTTTCAAATTTGAAAGAGAATTAAAAGAGGGTTCCAGGGTTATGTGGAGAGCTTTTTGTTGGGAAAATTGACTCACCTAAGGGCACTTCCAGCAGCGAAACTCTTGTCATGGCAAGGGGGGGCTAGGGCTGACTCTGTTTATGAGAATAGTGTCTGCCCTTGCAAAAAGTAAGTTACACTTCCAACAGTTGTCACGGCAAAGGACAAATACTATTCAATTTTTTGTTTTTTCACAAATTTGTTTACCTAAACAATTAATTTGGACAATATTTTCGGATGACATTTTCTGATAAAATATCCGGATAAGATTTTCAGATAAGATTTTCGGTTTCAAATTTCAAATAAATTTTTGTTTCAAATTTTCAATTTCATTTAAATTTCATCTAAATTTCAAATTTCAGATAAATTTCATTTGAATTTCAACTTTTCATTTGAATTTCAATTTCAGATAAATTTCATTCGATTTTCACCCTATTAAATTGCGCCACGTGTCATCTGAATTTCAAATTTCAGATAAATTTCATTTGAATTTCACATTTCAGATACATTTCATTTGAATTTCAAATTTCGAATAAGATTTTCACCCTATAAAATTGTGTCACGTGTCATGTCTATCGACCTAAATTTTTCTATAAAACTAAAGCTCAGCTCACAAACCTCTCACACTACATCTTCTCAAAAATTTCATTTCTCAGATTTTAGATTTCATATTTCATATTCCATTCACAATGTCAGACATGGAGGAGGTCTTGGAGAGGCAAAAGCGAGAAATAAGAGAAAGAAGGCGTAGACAAGCTGCAAGCAAAAGAGCACAGAGAGATCTAGATCAGCAACTTGTCATGGCTGTGGCTTTGCTTGATGAAGAAAACCAGAGCAGTCGTGGTTCACATGAAGGCCGTGGCCCGAATGTTGACCGACATAGGTATTCTCGGGGTAAGAATCTTATAGAAGATTATTTTATCCCAACATCTCTGTACTATAACGTTCATTTTCGAGGGCGGTATAGAATGCAACAACATTTGTTCAATAAAATCATGCATGATATTTGCAATTATGATGAATACTTTGTTCAAAAGAGAAATTGTGCTGGTGTTTTGGGACTGCTTCCCGAACAAAAGTTCACAGCTATTATACGAATGTGAGCGTATGGTGCATCTGTTGATTAGGTGGATGAGATTGTCCGGATGGGGAAGTCCATTGCCTTGGAGAGTTTGGTTAGATTTTGTGATGCAATCAAAACTCTGTACACCAGGGACTACCTGTGCTGACCCACGCCCAAGGACCTACAACGACTTCTACATAAAGCCGAACGGAGAGGATTTCCAGGAATGATTGGTAGCATCGACTACATACACTGGTAATGGAATAATTGCCCAACTGCTTGGTAGGGAGATTACGGAAATCGGAAAGGCCAAAAAAGCATCATCCTTGAAGCCGTTGCAGGTTTCGATACATGGGTTTGGCACGCCTTCTTCGGATTTGCTGGATCTCAAAATGACTTGAACGTCCTAAGTCAATCCCTGATGTTCAATGATGTTTTGAGAGGAGAAGCCCCGAAAATCACATATGAAGTCAATAATAACGTCTATCAAACTGCGTATTATCTAGCTGACGACATCTACCCGAGGTGGATAACATTTGTGAAATCACTTCCGCATCCCCGAACCCAGAAGCAAAAGTTATTTGCTACATATCAAGAGGGTTACAGAAAGGATGTGGAGAGGTGCTTTGGTATCCTCCAAGCTCGGTGGGCGATCATTAGGGGTGCGATGCGTATGTTTGATGAGGAGGTGTTGAGGAGCATAATGATGACATGCATCATCCTCCATAACATGATTGTGGAGGATGAGTATGATTACGAAGCTGAAGAGATGTACGAACCGGATCCCATGAACACGGCTTTGACCCGAATTTATGAAAAACCCATAGGGCCAAATGGAGTACCAGTGGAGCATGAACCGTTGGTTAGAGATGGTGTTTTCATGAACCGTATGATTGATCGATATACGGAGATGCAATTTTCGTATATTCATGAATGCCGTCAAGTTGACTTAATGGAGCATTTATGGGCAGTGAAAGGCAATGACGGTGAATGAAGTTAAGTGAAGAACATTTTTAAGATTTTAATGTTTATGTTTTATGTTTAGTTCTATTTGGTTTTTTTATGCTTTGGTTGTGGTTTGTTTGTTTATATATATATTTAATGCTTTGGTTGTGGTTAGTTTTTTTATGTATGGAATGTTTTGAATAAAAAGGAATTTTATTTAATAGTTTCCACATTTGACTGAATTTCATCTCATTACCTGATATGGGATCATGACTAATTTGGACCCAACACTCACACAACAAGACATCTTCCATGATGCTCCATGCCCCTCTGGTTTCTTGAGAAAAAGCCATAATGATAGAGAAAAATTAAACTTGAAAGTGAAAACAATTTAGAGTAGAAAGTGAAGAAAATATTGAGTAGAAAGTGAATAATAGTTGGAGAAGGAGAAGATGTATGAGAATTTGTTGTTAAAAGTGAAGAGTAGGTATTGGTATTTATAGAAAAAAATTCAGTATTTTTTGGGGTTTTTTATAAAAAAATTTACAATTTTTTTTCATTATTTTTTTGCCTTGAAAAATTCTAGGTCGTTGGATTGGATGACAAGACGAAATCAAAAGGACCAGATTGCGCCACGTATCATAGATCCGTTGGAGGAAAGTTGATGTGCGCGCAGCAAATTTTTTTTAACGTTGGCGCCTGCGTTGCACGCTCCAACGGTAAAAAAATTTGAAATTGCCCTGCTGGCGTCACGCTAGCATCAACAATGACGTCAGCCGCACCTTCAGGCCAGCCCAGGCTCGTGGACCCCACCCTGCCCGGGCCAGCCTTTGTTGCTAGAAAATGGACAATGGATTTTGTTCATTTGTGGGTTGTGATGAGTGTTTCTTTTTGTCTTTACAAGCCAACAGGCTACTGAAAAAATGTACTCTTTTAATGGCGATACAAATGCAATTATAATCGACCTAATTAATTCACTATTTTAATTGGCGTCAGTTTCTTCAACTTTTCAGTGAGCCCAGTGTCTAGAGAGAAATGGCTCGTTTGGGAGTGATTCTGGAAAGGCCAATAATCATTTTTATGGAGAATCACTTCTCCAAATAATCACTTTAAGTGATTTTATGAAGAAGCACATGAGAGATGTTTCTCCCTACAATTACCTAACTCTCATGTAACAGTAATAACACTTTCTGCTATCCTTGGTCAATAACACAATGACATATATGATAACTTTTTCACATGTCATTGTGTTATTGGGCGGGAATTGTAAAACAATGATATCCACATTACATGTAAGATTTTTTGCAGTGATTGAGAGAATGCAGTTAATGTCAATATGCTAAAGTCCTTTAACAAAATATTTTATAAATTTATATCTAACCTCAAACTCAAATCACATTGACTTTAGACTTTGGATTTTCCGAAGCTGGTATCTTTAAAATAGACTAAAGTAAAATATCGTTGTCTAGGATTGGGTTTATTTATAAATTTGTATTATTTATAAAAAAAAAAAAAAAAAAAAAAAAAAAAAAAAAGCATGTTACTCACGTGTTGTGACTAAAAGTTCACACATATACTCACGTCAATCAATTTATTTCATGAGAAATGAAATAAATTCTGCTTCTAAAAGACTATTAAGAGGTCCCAACCAATGCGAATAATAAAAGGAAAAAACATTGTCTAAGTTTCATAAAACATAAATAAATAAATGCTTCAAAAAAGCCTGAACCTACAAAATTGGATGGCCCTAATTTAAGTGTTCAAAAACTGACACCGATCTATGAACAAAGTGACTTGTTTTGGAAGTATGCACAACAATTGAGCCAAGCAGTATGAACCTATATACCACAAATTAATCGATCCTTAACGAGCCTCCAGAAGTGTAATCGATATATTGTTTGTTGACCACTGATTACCTGGAGGAACGCCTGCTTCAAGTGATTCCGTTTCTATAAAGAAACCAGGTTGCTTGGGAGCCAAGGGAATCTCACTTCCCAACATTATAAGCACAGATGCCATGGTTGGTCTATCCTCAGGATGATGTTGCACGCGTAAAAGACTAACATGGATGCAACGTAACACTTCTGATAGAGTATATGAGCTTCCTAAACGTGTATCAATCAGTTCTAAAGGCCTCCCTTGATTCCATAATATCCATGCCTGAAACATGTCAAAACTCCTTTGTGATTAATTGCCATTCATACGTCAAATATGTATCAAGAAGAAATTTTACTATCGATACTTACATGTCCAATAAGGTTATGACTGTGGTTTGGATGGTAGAATCCCTTATTTTTCCTTCCACTTATGACCTCCAACACCAAAATACCAAAGCTAAAGACATCAGATTTGACAGAAAACAGCCCATAGATAGCATATTCAGGTGCCATGTAACCGCTGTAGAAAGTAGAAACATCATACGAAGTGAGAACATAATAAACCATTGATGGGGATGAATTGTAGATCATGGAAAAATATTCAAAGGAAAACTTACTATGTTCCAACCACTCTGTTTGTATTTCCACCAGTCTGATCTCCTCCAACTAATGTTCTAGCCAAGCCAAAGTCTGAAATTTTTGGATTCATTTCGTTGTCAAGTAAAACATACTTGCTTTGAGATCTCTATGAATAATCCTTAGCCTGGAATCTTGATGGAGATAGAGGAGACCCCGAGCAATCCGCAAATAATGTGGAAACATTTAGACCAATCTAACAATAATTCTTCTCTCATTTGATCTGGCAAGTTTAATCCACATCCAACTTCAGTTCTATATACGAAACTGTTTAAAAAACTGTATATGAATGATTTCAAAGCAATTAACGGTCCAAACCAAAAATAAAGGAGTCCAGGCTTGTGTTGGGCATGTATTCATAAATTAGCATTTTCTCCTCTCCTTGAATGCAGCATCCAAGAAGCTTTACAAGATTTCAATGCTGGAGCTTGGCAAACAGTATAATTTCATTCTCGAACTCATTCAATCCTTGGCCAGAACTTCTTGAAAGCCTCTTCACAGCAATTTCTTGTCCATCTGGTAGTGTCCCCTGGAAATTTACAGTATTTCAAAATATTGTGAAACACTGGGTGAACTGATTCTTTGTTAGTTTGGCTTTATTATAAAGCAAGTTACAAGTTTACCCTGTAAATGGGTCCAAATCCACCTTCTCCGAGCTTGTTATTGCTTGAAAAGTTATTTGTAGCACCTATTACTGTGGTCAGGTTGAAGAGCGGGAGCTCCAGGTCCTCCTTTGGTTCCCCTTCATTGTTCTGATTTGTTTCGTCCATATCTGTTTTCTCTCATATAGTAGAAATGGGATTCATGTTAGCGATAGATATAAGTAAGAGTAACCATATCTCTTCTAACCAAATTGAACTCAATAGAGGTTTAAAACACTTTCTATAAAATGTAAAAACTCATCAAAATATAATCAAACAACACCAACGAACATTTTGTAAAGATGGTCAGGGTAAAATAGTTCCTCTACCTTTTAATTTTCTCCTGCTTCGGTGAAGCTAATTTCCAACGAACACCACTAAAGAAGACACTACTGCTACAGAAACTTTTACTGTCATTGCTGTCTTCACTTTACCTCCATTTTCTTCATCATGGTTGTATGAAGCAGTAGAGAAGATAAATACAAAATGCAGCCAAAAATAAAATAAAAATTAAGGTCAATTATCTAACTTAGATAGAAGAAAAATGGGCTTCTCAATGAAACACAATGGAAACAACAATTGAATTACATGTCACATAAAAAGTATTTAACAAGCAGCTCGTGTTACAAAGTTCCATACCTAACTCTGAGGCTGGCATACGAATATACAGATCCTGTCCATTAGCCACAAACTGCCTGATATCTATTAGATCACCAAACCAGATGGCACAGCCGGTACCTCCTCTGATATCTGAGCTTGTATAAGCCATACAGGAACAGTTTTTCAAGCATTTAGTTCTGCATTCCTTAAGATTCATACTTTCGCTCACCCACGAATGTGTAGTATCTGGCAGTTTCAAGCCAGCAAATTTGACAAACCCATCTTTATATCTTTCCTGGCAGCTTAACGGTTTATTGCGCACACATCCTAGAGACCAGTCTGTCAAATTCCATTTTTCTTGAGACTTGGGCTTGAATCCTTTTAGACATTGGCAGACTGGATTCTCATCAATGATACACTTTCCATTGGCTCCGCAGAGGCCATAATTATCACACAAGTCTCTTGGTACTGATGAATAGGCCCTCCAAGTTTGATCTGCTTCAATCCATGTAAAGCGATCACGAGTACTTGCGGTTTGGTTCAGAACTATTCTTGAGATTACAGACTTACTTTGAAGGTTGTACATGTAGTACACTTCATTGTCATTATAGACAAAGTTGAACCTATAAAGTGGATTAGGCCTTAATTCTGGTGAACCACTGAATCTCAGGCCATTCCATGGGCCAGTACGATAGTATTTTGCAGTGCCTTTCCGAACATATGCCTCAGGATAAGTATCAAGTTCCATTTCAATCCCACAAGTGAAATCTCGTGGACATGGGTCTTCTGAATTTTTCCATGCTGATAAACTCCGTTTTATACCTGTCCTCAAGTCCCGTCCCATCTTCATTCCTGGTAACAACGTATCAGAAGGATAGTCAAAGCTTTGCCACAAATAGGTTCCTGCATCTCTTAGTACTAAATTCCAAGAATCTAAAAGCTCTACCATTGCACTTGGGGCATGTTTAGCTGAGCTTATCCACCAAACAACACTCTTATTCTGGCCTAACAGCACAAGATGCCCTGTGCTGTTCATCATCAACCTGCCGGAAGAATGATTAATGGGGTTGCATCTGTTTGCAACCCAAACAACAGTTCTAACTGGGATGTTCTTGTACCAAATGCCCAAGTAACGATTCTTGGAACTACCTGGACTGAAGAAGCCAAGCTCAAAGCTTCCACCTCTTGAAGCCAAGGTCGTTCCATCGCGTATAGACTGGGAGGGCCTAATGTTGTCAACTGCAAAGGAATGTGTGAATAACAGAGAGAAAATTAGAACCAATCATAAACGAAAAACAAAGACGACCCATTTAATTTTCGTTTTTTATATCCTTTCCTACTGGTTATCCAAGTTAAGGATAGAATTAGAAGAGATCCTTATGATTGTTAACTGAGAAGGCCAAATATATACGGTTTAGGACACGACTATTGACTATGTATGCATAGAAAACATAGGCAACTGTTGTTCTCAGTACGTATGTTAAAACCAAATGAGTGCCAGACTGATAACCCAATGGCGGCTAATGACTGGTAAGCAAAACTGAAGCTTTTTTGTTACCTTCTGTCTTGATCCATCACGGAACTGTGTAGGGCTGTAGTGCTGTTGCTTCATACTAATCAGTTGGCCAAGTGAGCGCATGCGCATCAATGGTTGGTCTCGGTCCCCACCAATCAGCCATTGAAAGATCAAAATTTGTTTTGGCGAAGAATCTCCTCCTTTCACATTCACAGGTAGCGCCTTGGGGCTCTTTCTCCAGCAAAATTTACAGTCTGCGAATCAGTTCTGGTAATCGAAAAGGATATTTTTTTTTTTTTCCGGTTGAGTTTTTGGCTCCAATTTTGAGTTTTCTTTCTTTTCAAATTCGAAAAGAGAATTCAAAGTAGAATTTTAGGTTTTGGGTAAACTGTTGGCATACGCAGGATGCCAAAGAGGACGAAACAGAGGTGGCTTTCTTCTTTCGGCTGTGACGTCCAAATTGATTTTTGGAGGATGAGAGAGCGACATAGCATACTAATCAATCTCACAACATTACACAGATGTTAGTAATTAAATTTTGTTATTTACACTAACACATCCGGAGGTTTTTTGCGTTTTCACAAAATCCCCTCATGTCTTAAAAATTACACGAATGTCTCTTGAGGTTTTAGTTTGTTTTCATAAAACTCCTTTTTGTTGATTGTTTGTTCAAAAATTGATGATTTCATTAAAAAAAAAAAAAAAAAAAAAAAAAAAAAAAAGTTACAAAATAAAAAAAACCTCAATGAAGTACCTATGTAATCTAATAATTAAAATACCAACTTTGTCATGTGGAGAAATTTATTTTTTTTAGGTATAAAATCATCAATTTTCGGATGAAAAATCAATGAAAATGAGTTTGTTAAAATAATTTAAAACTTCAGGGGGTGTTCTTGTAATTTCTAAAACCTCAAGGAGTTTTGTGAAAAATCTAAAACCTCAGGAGGTGTTAGTAAAAATAACTCAAATTTAAACCTTATAGGAACTTTATGTATTACTAAGTCACTTATGTATCTTATCATGTAATATATAAAGTGTAAACTATTGTAGTAAATCATTATAAATAAATGATTACGGTATGTTTAATCTTCTTTCATTAACTACTACATATTTTCTACACTCATAGTATTTTTCAGCTCGCTATGTAAGCAATTTAAATCAGTTAAACCCATCATGCAATGCATTTCCTTTCAATTTTTTGTTATAAAGTAATAGATAATTGATTAAAAAAACATCCTCCAAAGTTTGAAGAAAAAATTTCAAGTTTTTCTGACAATTTCCGTCCCAATATTTTCATCAAAATTTCTGTATTTTTGGACTACCGATATTTCTGAAACCATCAATACTTTAGACCTTGATCCAAACTACTACACAAGTAGGTCATATGGCCTGGTTTTTGTTTCATCAGTTATACTAATTGAAAAATAAACGAATAAAGAAGGTTGTGGAAGAGAAAGTGGATGAAGTGTGTTGCGCTTGGGGTTTTAGAGAGGGTACGTGTTATAGAGAGACAAAAAAAAAAACTTTTTTTTTTTTTTTTTTTTTTCTTTTTTTTTTTTTTTTTTACCCCCCCCCCAAAAATTTAGTTTTTATATAGGTATTTTAATATATATTTTTATTTTTCTTAACCCTTGATTTATAGTTTTTAAGGGTTTGTTTGATACGTTAAATGTATGATTAATTTCTATCAGATAATATTAATCTGTCCCCGGAGATGACTGAATTTATTTATAAAATTATAAAGCGTTTGGTACTATTCCGGATAAATAGTCTGACTAAGTTATATTGTGTTTGATGCTCCGTCAGATTTTATTTTATTTTTTCAATTTTTAGGAAGATTCATATGACCTTTGTTTTTTTTTTTTGCCAAGATCTATAAGCTAAGATTACATGAACTAACCCATTATCATAATTGTGGAACTTAGGATTATAAGTTGGGGAATGCTAGCAACCTTCTCTCTAATCTTCTCTTTTGGATATTTTCCCTTTTTCTCATGGAAAGTGTCACTTTCCTTAGACTTAAAACAATGTCATTAATGCATCACACAAACTAGTTTTTGTTTTTTGTTTTCCAAGTTTACTCTTATTGAATGTATTAACTCATTTTATTACTAACAAGCTAGTGTTTTTTACAACTTTCTTACTATCTTGTTAAAAAATTAAATAAGAAAATAAAAAATTAAGTTTTTTTTTTTCCTCAAAGAGGACGTATGTTTTGTTAAACACAAAATAATGATGATATCACTTTCATAATAACAATGTCATGAAACAAACTTTATCTTTATTTTTTTAAATGACGTTTAAAAAAAATTAATTAATTAATTTTTAACAATGTCCTAAGGAAGTTGTAACAAAATTTGGATGAATTGAAGGAAATATAAAAAAGCTAATACATTTAATAAGGGTAAACTTAGAAAACAAAAACTAACTTGTGTGATGCATTAATAATATTGTTTTAAGTATAAGGAAAGTGACACTTGTAATGAGGAGAAGGGAGAAGGTTCAAAATAGAAGGTTAGAGAGAAAGTTGCTAGCATTCCTCTTATAAGTTACATAGTAATAAGCACATCTTTATTGGAAAAAAAAAAAAAAAAAAAAAAAAAAAAAAATAAAATCTGATATAATATAAAAACCTTATTTTCTTGATATATATATCGCATACAGGACATGAAGCATGTCGAACATCATCAATCTCTTTCTCTTGTGTTCTTATGGACATGAAGCATGAAGCATGTCTAACAAACTTATATCAGACAAAAATAAAGGGCTTAAGTGTACGAGAGAACTCTCTAATTTTACTTTGTTGATGTGCATGAATCGATTTACCCATGGTCATTCTAGCTTTTCCCATCCTAGCTTACTATTTGTGCAAATAATCTCTCGGGAGAATATTCGCTTCTAGATCCTTCAACTTTCGATCTTCCTTCTCTCTATTCCTCGTTTCCTGTAAAAAAAACTAGAGTAAATAGATCACACCCGGGGGGTGTTGGCTAAAGGCCCTCTGATGCCTAAGTTAGTTTGAGTGTTCGTAGGAAAACAATAGCTAAGCAAAGGGTACAGAGTTGTATGTATGGTGTTAATCGGGCGGCCGGAGCCATGTGGAGAAAATATGGAGATTGGAGAGGGAGAGAGAGCTTCGAGTATTTTTCTCGGGTTTAAGAGTATGTTTAGATGTACCTTGAATGATGAATGAGGTCATCTATTTATAGGAGCCTTGGGGCTAGGGTTTCATAGAGAATATGATGAGTTTATTCTCTATTCAAATTCGTAAAGATCGAGTTGGACTTGATTATATCTCTTTATTGAAGATAATATCTGAATTAACGATATTATCTTCTATTCATTAGGATAATATCTGAATTAATGATATTATCTTATTAAATAAAGATAATATCCCATTAATTAAGATATTTATCCCTATTAATTAATTGGACAGATAAACTGGTTCAATTAATTAATTTAAGAAATAATCTTCTTTTCCACGTGGCGTACTGTGATTGGAGACGAAAATATCTGCTCCCATAGTTACCATTGTAATTATAGTAATTTTTCCAACACATGAAAAATTGAAGGATTGATGTGATGGTTATTGCATCTGGACTGGGAAAAGGTTTTCACTTTATTGTGTCAACACCCAACAAACATGCTTATCTCCAAAGATGGAAATGCAATTCACTATATAAATTAATTATTAAATAATTGAAATTATGAGAAACCCTAATTATCAAAGCTTTGGCAGCTTCGTATTGCCTTTATTTATTTATTATTTATTATTTTTATTTTTATATTCTTTTTAATTGTTCTCTTTGTTTGATAAGACTTGAAAGTATAGTTAAAGATGCACAAACAAACCAGTGCAACGAAGATTTTGAAGAAAAACTCATAACCTAATTTTCATAAAAATTTAATATAAAGAAAGAGAAGATGAAGACAGAAGAAAAGAGAAGAAGCAAGAAGAAACATATTGGAGAGAGTATGAGAGAGAGGGAGAAATGAATACATGAAGAAGAGAAGAAAGCAAGAATCCTAAGGAGAAGATGATGGAAGGAGCGTACAAAGCGTGTTTTCTTTTTACCTAGCTTTATAATTAAGCATGTGGGTTACGGTGTACCAAACATGGCCTAATTGCAGATGTGGGTTAGCAAGGAAAAATGTGCCCGCCCTTTTGTATCTAATTGGATCCGTATATTAGAATGGTTTAGAATATCACTTTATAAATTGTTGCAATTTGCACCAAAGGGAAAAAAAATGGAGAGGGAATGGAGTCTCATACAGAAAAGGAGAGGGATCGAAGGAAAAATACCGAGCGAATATATACAGAAAAATAGACGTAGCATGAGATGAATAGCTTTGTGGTATTTATCTAGCCTCAATGCTTGAACCAAGTACAGAACCACTTGAATCTACAAACTTGCATGTTTTGGAAATATATGAACATGTCAAGATAGCAGCAAGAACATATATAATCGAACCTTATCTAGCCTCCAAATCCGTAATGGATAATTCGTTGGCTGAAGATGATTGCTTTTCTGAAGAATGACCTGCTTCATGTGATTCCTTTTTCATGAAGAAACCAGGTTGTTTGGGCTGAGCCAAAGCCATCTCACTTCCCAGCATTATAACCACAGACGCCATGCTTGGCCTGTCCTCAGGATGATGCTGCACACACAAGAGACTAACATGGATGCAACGCGACATTTCTGATAGAGTAGATGCACTTCCTAAATATGTATCAATCAGTTCTAAATGCCTTCCTTCATTCCATAATCTCCATGCCTGAAACATGCCAAAAATCCTTCATCAATTACCATCTATTCGGCGAATATATGCAGCAAGAAGAAAGTTTACTCTTGATACTTGCATGTCCAATAAGGTTAGGGCTGGTTGGATGGTAGAATCCCTTGTTTTTCCTTCCACTAATGACCTCCAGCACCAAAACACCAAAGCTAAAGACATCAGACTTTACAGAAAATAGACCGTCAATAACATACTCGGGTGCCATGTAACCGCTGTAGAAAACAGAAACATCATGGAGAAGTGAGATCACAACAGAAACCATTGATCAGGATTAAAAGTGTACCTACAGAAAATATTAAAAGACAAACTTACTATGTTCCAACCACTCTGTTTGTATTTCCTCCAGTCTGATTTCCCCCAGTCAATGTTCGAGCCAAGCCAAAGTCCGAAATTTTTGGATTCATTTCATTATCAAGTAGGACATTACTTGCTTTGAGATCTCTATGAATAATCCTTAGCCTGGAATCTTGGTGCAGATAGAGGAGACCACGAGCAATTCCACAAATAATGTGGTAACGTTTAGGCCAATCTAACAGTAGTTCTCCACTCGTTTGATCTGGCAAAGTTGAATGCAAATCCAACTTCAACTCTCTATAGAAAATTGCTTAAATATGAAATTGTTTTATAGCTATTAAGCAATTAATTTTGAGCAAATTAATAAGGTTTTCAAAAGTCCAAACCAAAGATGAATGAGTCCAGGCTTCCGTTGGGCATGTATTCATAGATCAGCATTTTCTCCTCTCCTTGAACGCAGCAACCAAGAAGTTTTACCAGATTTCGGTGCTGAAGTTTGGCAATCAGTATAACTTCAGTCATGAACTCATTCATTCCTTGGCCAGAACTTCTTGAAAGCCTCTTCACAGCAATTTCTTGTCCATCTGCTAGCGTCCCCTGTAAATTCACACTATTTCAAATACTGCTACCCTGTAAAGCAAGTTAATATGCCCCTTGTTATACAAGTTACAAATTTACCTTGTAAACTGGTCCAAAGCCACCTTCTCCCAGCTTGTTATTGCTTGAAAAGTTATCTGTGGCACTAATTACAGTGGCCAATTCGAAGAGCGGGAGCTCCAGGTCCTCCTTTGGTGCCCCCTCATTGTCCTGATTTCTGTCTCTTATTTCTGTTTTCTCTCACGCAGGGGAAATGGACATCATGTTAGCTATAGCCAATAGGAGTAAGTGAACAAAAGCTTATATCCGCAGATGAAATACATATTGGTTCAACCATATACTTTCGAACAAATTTAAACTGGATAAAACTTTTCTCTCAAATAGTCATCAAAACAGAGTTTAAAAACATGGATAAATAAATACTTGGAAAGATGGTCAGGGTGAGTTAATCTACCCTTTAATTTTTTCCTTCTCCGGTGAATGTAACAGGCAACTAACAGCACTCCAGAAAACACCACTGCTATGACAGCTACAACTATCAATGCAGTCTTCCGCTTACCGTCATTTTCTTCTTCATTGTTGAATGATGTAGTAGAGCAAATACAGTTAAATTGCAGCCACAAAAAAGTTCAAAAAGATTGGTCAGTTCTTTAACTTTGATAAAAGTAAAATGCACTGGTGACATAAACAACCAACTTTACGTTACAAAGTTTCATACCTAACTCCGAAGCTGACATTCGAATATATATTTCCTGCCCAGAAGTCAAAGCCTGTGTGGTATCTATTAGATCACCAAACCAGATGGCACAGCCAGTACCTCCTCTGATATCTGAGCTTCTGTAAGCCATACAAGAACAGTTGTTCAAGCATTCGGCTCTGCATTCCTTGAGATTCATACTTTTGTTCACCCAAGAATGCGTAGTATCTGGCAATTTCAAGCCAACGAATTTGAGAAACCCATCTTTATCTGTTTTCTGACAGCTCAAGGGTTTATTGCGCACACATCCTAGAGACCAGTCTGCCAAATTCCATTTTTCTTGAGACTTAGGCTTGAATCCCTTTAGACATTGGCAGACTGGATTCTCACCAATACAATTTCCATTCGCTCCACAGAAGCCATAATGATCGCACACATCTCTAGGTCTTGATAAATGGGCAGTCCAAGCTTCATCTTCTTTCTTCCAATGAAACCGAATACATGAACTGGTGGTTTGGTTCAAAACTATTCTTGAGGTTATAGACTTAATGGTAGGTTTGTACATGTAGTACACTTCATCATCATTGTACACAAAGTTGAAACCGTAACGAGCAGGATGTTTCTCTGATGAACCACAGAAAGTGAGGCCATTAAACGGACTGGCACGATAAATTTTCGCAGTGCCATTGCGAATATATGCCTCAGGGTATGCTTGAAGTTCCATTTCAATCCCATACGTGAAATTGCCTGGACAGGGATCTTCTGAGTTTTTCCATGCCGATATGTGTCGTTTCAGACCCGTCCTTAAGTCCCATCCCAACTTCATTCCTGGTAACAATGTATCAGAAGGATAGTCGAAACTTTGCCACAAATAGGGTCCTGAAATTCCATCTTTCGCATCTCTTACTACCAAATTTCCAGAATCTAAAAGCTGTACCATTGAATTTTCAACACGTTTAACTGAGCTTGTGGACCAAACAACACTCTTGTTCTGACCAAACAGCACAAGATTGCCTGTGATGTTTATCATCAACATGCCGGAAGAATCATTAATGGGGTTGCATCTGTTTGCAACCCAAACAACAGTTCTACCTGGGATGTTCATGTTCTTGTACCAAATTCCCAAGTAACGATTCGTGGAGCTACCAGGACTGAAGAAACCAAGCTCAAAGCTTCCATCACTAGAAATCAACGTCGTGTTGTCACTGACAGACTGCGAGGGGCTAATGCTGTCAACTGCAGAGGAAATTGTGAAAAACAGAAAGAGCAAATTAGTACTAATAAGCAGAAAACAAAGACCACCCATTAATTAATTTTTCTTTTTCCTCTGTCCCTGCGAGAGGTTTCCTTCAAGTTAAAGATTAGAAAGAAAAGATGCTTGTGGTTGATAATTGAGAAGATTATATAACCAGCCTCATCCAAACGTCAAATAATTGGGGAAATTGTGAAATGGGTTGGTATATTCACAAGTCAAAATTAGATTTTTCTTTGCCACCTGCTTCATCTATATAGTACTACTGTTAATTCACGCAAGAGTACACGAGTCAGTCCATCAATGGTGAGGCCCTACCTGTCATCAATTGAATACAAAACGCGTTTTGGACTAAAAGTTTTCCATCTTTTACTGCTGGGTTCCTTCTTGTACAAAGTTCTTGATACTGAAATCCCAGTCATTATCAGTTCAGATCAGACGAAAATCAACCCAAGACTTCACATTGCTTCTGCCTTAGCTAAAAGAATTTTGAGCTTTTTCTCTCAGAATCTTTGCCCATTTAATTCGTTCGACTTTGAAATTTCAAAAGAGAATTCAAAGAAGAGAAAATTTGGGTTTTGGATACTTAACTTTTGGCACTTGCAGATTGTCAGAGACAGAGAAAGTGACGGCATTGTTGTTTTCATCTGCGGCGTCCAAATATCACCACTGTCACCTGTGTTTCCACTATGGTCTGAAACCAACTAACAAATATCCCGTTGCAATTTTTCTCGTAAAAATGAGCGGTTGCAATTATGACATTGCACAACCGGTATAAAAGGAAGAAGCCAAAGAGTTAAAAATGTAGAAAATGACGGCTGCTATACCCGGTAGAGTTTTTCTATTCAAATCCCATACTTTTTTTTTGTTCACTTCAATACTTAAATCATTGATCTTTTAAGTTTTACTATTGTCAGATTACTATCTCTTTCAATCCAAGAAACCTAAACTTTTTTTTTTTTTTTTTTTTTTTTTTTTTACTAAAAACTATTACACTCTAATCTTCTCTTTACAAATGGTATACAAATAGTGACTTGTGTGCCGTCAATTGAGGTATGTAATGTGAGAAGTTCCCCCACAAACCTAACTGCACAAGTTAAACTATATTCTAGCATCAAGATCAACCCCATGAAAATCCACAATGAAGAAATGAACAAAACATTGTCTATGGCCTTACAGTTGTATCTGACAGAGGAGCTTAAGATAACTATTAGAATTATCAATTCAGGGAAGTCTCTCAATCGAGCAATGTCATAAAGAATTAACAGTTGATAATGGCAAAACATTCAACACGCTAGGGAAGCATTTTCCATTGAGGAAGAAAACCGTCTTCGTCAACCAAATAAAAGTTGTGCATTCACATGTTGTTGGTCTGCAATTAAAGTTGTGAATTCAAGATTGGAAATCGCAATAAGCAAGCATTGGCTAGAGTATCCAAAAGCCAATGGAATGAAACTGACAACGCCATGGAAGAAAAGAAAAGATTTACCTCTCAAGAAGTAAAAGTCCAATTACACCAAGAACAAGGCCTATAGCTCCAAGGAACGCAATGTTCTCATCGAAGAACAAGGCCTCAAGTATAGCCACCGTCAAAGGTTGTGAATCAATTATAACCTGGGGTGTGAGGTTGACGAGTTTTTGTTTTGTTTTTTTCTTGCTAGGTGTGTATTTAGGAAGTGCGGGGTTTTCTTAGAAATTGTAAAAATTTAAATTAGAAGTTGAGGTGAACTTAGAATATTGAGACAACAAAGAGAAGTGTCCCCGTTTCATGAAAGTCTTTTTATATTTTTATAATCATCATTCCTGAAAAAACTAATAAAATAAAAAACTTGTTCAGCTATTTAATTAGTAGTGTGGCCATTTCAGTGTTTCATGAAAATAATAAATTTATCAATTTGCTTGTAATAGTTCTATTTAGACAGATGATTTTAAAATGGTATAATAGAAATAGACCATACCCATCATAAAAAGTGCTCAAAAATAAGAAGAAACGAATTTCTATTTTGGTGAATTGAACTAACTCAACTGCAGAAAGCGAGCACACCGCATACGAGTTCTTAAGTTTTACTATGAGTAATTTCTAAAGTAAGTTACAAATGTGCCCTTGTTTGCTTTGAAAACTAAAAATGAGCATTCATATGAAATGACAGGCAATTTTGTTTCTGCTCACTATTTTGATAAAATATCTGTAGAAAATATCATTTGCTTATCATGATTCATGGGACTTCACTTAACATAAAATTCAACGGAAATGGTACATTTGGAATAAATATAGGTGGTAAATTGTAAAATAGAAAAATTATTAGGTCCATATTATATTTGTGCAAATTTCCACACAAAAAAAAAAATAATAATAATAAGTATATAATTATTAGGTCCATATCGTATTTGAGGAAAGGAGGTTCTATCTTGCCTCCAACAGCGTTACACTCATCTCATTTATTGAGTGAGATTCACGCTTGGTGGATGAAGAATCTGCTTCAACTGGGTTCCTGTCAGTAAAGAAACCTGGTTGTTTGGGCGCAGGCAATGAACCCTCACCACCCAACATCAGCACCACAGATGCCATGTTTGGTCTATCTTCTGGTTGTTGCTGCACACACAACAGAGCTATGTGAATGCATCGCGACACTTCTGGTAGAGGACACGAGCCATCTAACACCTTATCCAGTACTTCCAATGGCCTTCCTTCAATCAATAGAGTCCATGCCTGAAATTAATCAAATTTATGTTATAATGCTCTTCCTTCCTTCCTTCCCATGTGAAAAAAAAACATATGAAGTAAGCTTGAACAAGTTGTTCTTTAATAAAGCTTACATGTCCTAGAAGGTTAAGCCGGTGCTCTGGATGATAAAATCCCCTGTTCTTCTTCCCGCTCACTATCTCCAGCACCATGACGCCGAAGCTATAGACATCGGATTTGACTGAGAAGAGTCCATCAACTACGTACTCAGGAGACATGTAGCCACTGCAAAATAAAGTTGGAGTTACGAGTTCACCAACAATGTAAAATGTACAAGACAAGTTCAGAGCTACCTACTAAGTTCCAACCACTCTATTAGTATTTTCCTCAGTTTGATCTGCCCCGAATGCTCTAGCCGTGCCAAAATCAGATATTTTTGGATTCATATCTTTATCTAGCAAAACATTGCTGGTTTTAAGATCCCTATGGATTATCCTTAGTCTAGAATCTTGGTGAAGATAAAGAAGTCCTCGAGCAATTCCACCGATGATACTGATGCGTTGATCCCAACCGAGGAATTTACTTCTTGTATCATCTGACCAATTGATCATAAAAGTTAGTTTAATCTACACTAAATTTCAGAACAACAAATTTAAGAGGAATTATGAAAAGACTGATGGGAGTGCTAGCATAGTTGATGGAGGTTCAAACCAAATATGAAGTAGTCCAAGCTCTTGTTGGGCATGTATTCATAAATTAACATTTTTTCGTCTCCCTCAATACAGCAACCAAGAAGCTTTACAAGATTTCTGTGTTGAAGTTTAGCAATCAATATTACTTCATTCATGAATTCTTTAATTCCTTGCCCCGAACATTTTGAAAGCCTTTTGACTGCTATATCTTGCCCCTCTATCAGTATGCCCTAGAAAGCATCATTTCCAGTAAGTTGAGAGATATATTTTTGAACTAATAATACATCACATTATACTTTTGTTACCTTGTATACTGGTCCAAAACCACCTTCTCCCAGCTTGTTATTGTTTGAGAAATTATCAGTGGCTCTAGATACGGTGGCCAAATCAAATGTTATCAGCTCCATGTCTTCGTTTCCGCATTCAAAATCAAAGTTCTTTTCACGTATGTTTTTCATTTTTCCTGAGACAGTTGATGAAGCAATAAGTTCATGATTCTTCCAAAACAGGAAGAGGAAGGGAGGATAAAAAAAAATCTGTCACCTTCCAGAATTTTGTCCTCTCGTACTCTTAGTCAAAAGCATGACAAACAAAAAAAAAAAAAAAGAAAAACAGAGAAAACAAACAGTCTGTAACACATGATCAACAAAATGGAGATGTTAATTAATTTCTACCTTGTGCTTTCAATTTCTTCTTCCGCTTGTAAAAAACCAAACCTAGTATTATCATTCCCATGCCTAGCAGCCCAACGCTGGCTATGATTGCCACTTTCTTCTTTACACCGGAGGGCTTGCTTGTCTTGATGTCATCTGAAAGATCACACGTAGATTTAGTGATGTGTTCCAAGTTACAACTAAAAGTTAATATCAAATATTTTGTTAATCATTAGTGCAGTCATTCCCTTGTGCTCAACATAACATCCTCTAAACAAGACCAGAAAAAAAGTAAGGAAGAAACTAACTTGAAAGAACATGAAACAAAACCAAGTACCTAATCCCAAGAGGGCTGTCCGGACAAAAAGGTCTTGCCCACCAGAGTCGAATTCTTTTATATCAATGAGGTCACCAAACCAAAGCAAACATCCACTTCCTCCTTCACTAATATCCAACTTTGCATATGCTGTGCAAGAGCAGTTTTTCAAACACATTTTCTTGCATTCCTCGAGGGACATAGTACTATCGATCCACGACGAAGATGTATCCGGTAATTTCGCCCTAGTGAAACTCTGAAATCCGTCTTCATTACTACAACCCAGTGGAGTTTTAGGAACACACCCCAAAGACGTGTTTTTCGAATTCTGGTATCTTGGAGATTTTGGTACGAAACCTTGTAAGCATGAACATTGAGGATCAGCACCAAGCTTGCAGAAAGAAAATGCATATGCACCACATAAATCATAGGTGTCACACCGATCTATCGGAGCAGAGTAAATTATGTTATTGCTCTGTGATTTATCAACCCACATGAACCGCTGCAAGCCACCGGACAAGTTCAGCAGTAATCTTGAATGCAATGCATCCTTCAGGAGCTCAAACTTGTAAGAGACCTCACTCTCATTCAACACGAAATCGAATTTGAATAATTCATTACCAGATCTAAGTTCAGGACTCCCTGTAAAACTAAGGCCATTCCATGAACCCAACCTATACTGTGCTCTAGGACCTTTCTTAACAACCAGTTGAGGGTATCCACTACGATCTATGGAAAATGAGAATTCGCCCAGAGCAGGATCATCTGCATCTTTCCAAGAAGACAAAACTTTGTTTAGCCCGGTTTTCAAGTTCCAGCCAAGCTTCATTCCTGGTAGCAAATTATCAGTTGGATAATCAAAGCTCTGCCACACAAGCTCATTTCCATCTTTCACAACAAGATTTCCTGATTCTTGGAGCTGAGCAACTGGTTTCCTTATGAATTTTCTTGAAGAGTTGGATGACCAAACAATGCTATTTCTATTTGTGTCGCTTAAAAGAACAAGAGCTCCTTGATCAGTGATATTCAAAGCTCCTGCTGAGAGATGAGTAAGTGGATTTTCTCTGTTGGCCACCCATACAACTGTCTGAGGAGATATTCCATTGTACCATATTCCCAAGTATCGGTTATTCGAATTGCCAGGGCTAAAGAATCCTAATTCGAAGCTTCCACCGGAGGAAACAAGGGTCTCTCCATCTCCGATCGATACACTTGGAGTGATGATGTCTTTGGTGTTCGAGATACTTAGAATGGAGAACAGAAGTGATGTAAAGACAAAGAGCATTGTAAAGATTTCCATAGCTCTTCTTTCTGCATGACTAGGAGAATTCAAGTTTCAAATAAGTGAAATATTTTAGGAAATTTCTTGACTCTGCTGTTCTTGTAAGCAAACCAAAGATTTCAGGCGCATTCAATGCCTCCATTAAAGCTCCCAACAAATCTTGGACATGTAGAAAATCATAGGGTTGTCAATGAGGAAAAAAGCAATAATGTAGATAGCTTTAATACAAGTAGCTGGAGCTGTTGGTCCCTTTTTTGCCTTCCTCGATCTCCTGGGTCAATCTGCTTCGGAGAATAGGAAGGAGTCAGGTCAACACCATTGCCCCGATTGGAGTGATGATGTCTTTGGTGTTCGAGATACTTAGAATGGAGAACAGAAGTGATGTAAAGACAAAGAGCATGGTAAAGATTTCCATAGCTCTTCTTTCTGCATGACTAGGAGAATTCAAGTTTCAAATAAGTGAAATATTTTAGGAAATTTCTTGACTCTGCTGTTCTTGTAAGCAAACCAAAGATTTCAGGCGCATTCAATGCCTCCATTAAAGCTCCCAAAAAATCTTGGACATGTAGAAAATCATAGGGTTGTCAATGAGGAAAAAAGCAATAATGTAGATAGCTTTAATACAAGTAGCTGGAGCTGTTGGTCCCTTTTTTGCCTTCCTCGATCTCCTGGGTCAATCTGCTTCGGAGAATAAGAAGGAGTCAGGTCAACACCATTGCCCCGATTGGATTTCTGCCTCTTGAGAGGACTCCTTCAATTTCGGATAAAATTGAAAGTTGGATCATGTTGAAAAGAGCGGGCGAGCTCGAGCTGGGCCTTGATGACTTGTTTCTGATGGCCTGATTGTAGGTTGCGTAGGCGTGCCACTATTGGGGATGAGACTAGCTCAATAGACTTGGTATATGTGATGTAGAGTGTCTCTTTAATGGACTTGTTTTGGACCTCTGATCAAGCCATTGTGCTCCAAGTGGGGTATTGGCTTGGATGAGTTATTTTCTATGCCTTAATTAAGAGGACTTCAATATTCTTTCAATTGTGCGTAGTTGGTTTAACATATACAGATGATACTTGACCAGAAAAGAAGGAATCCAATGTTGAGGTTAATTCTCCCTTGATTAAGTTTAGAAACCTATTTAGGGCCCAAGATGGCCCTATATTGGGTCAAGATTCGTCTAATTTGGGCCGAATAGTATGATTCGGGCAGAGGCAAACCCTTGTTTTCAGGCCAACGAAGGCATGTTCGGACCTAAAACCCTTATTGTTGGTCTATCTAGAAATGAGCAGTTATATTCAAAAGGTTCAAATATAAAAGAAATGGGAAAGCAAATTGCCACAATGTATGATGCAAAAGGTAAATGACAATAATGTAAAATTCGATTAATGTAAGTTGTAAAGAGAGTACAACTACCAGGAACTAGAGATTTCTCTATCCAACCCCAGTATGATAACATATTAAAATAAAAGCCAAAGATTTCTCCATTTAGTTGTTTTTTCAAGAACGAATTACAATATTGAAAAGATTGGAGATTTCTCTTATCCAATCATTACAGATTTCAGCTATTTAGCAGAGAACTATATCGAGTGTTTAAACAAGAATCATACCATAGGGATGGCAAAGCAATAAAAAGATAAATGCAGGAGTTGTCAATTGGTTATCTAGGCAGAAAATTGGCTATTTCAAAAAAATCTTGAAGTTTGTTCAAGCGTTTACAAGACGTTGCGTTTGATTTTGGAGATAGGGTCCTCTTGTGCTGTTGTAGAGCCTCTATATTTATAGGGAATAATCCCTAATGATGAAAGCTGGAGGAGGATACTTGGATGCTGTCCAAAGTCAGCTGTTGATTTGTCCTTGTGAGCTAATCCATAAGGGGAAAGGAACCCTTTCGGATGAAACTACTGGAGCTAATTAACACTCTTTGGGGTCGTTTGGTACGGCGGATTGTTATGGACGGGACTAAATCCTGGGACTGTCGTGGATTGGCTTGACTTGGTCTAAGCTGGATCAAGTACTGACCTACGTTTGGTGTTGCGTCGGACTAAAAAGCTGGATAACCAAAATAATACTATCCTGTGTTTGGTTTATGCTCGGACTGGGACAAAATTTTTAAAATTTTCTTTGAAATGATAATATTTTAATTATCAACTATTTTAATTATAATTCCAAGGCCAAAAATTTGTATTAAATTTTCCAAAACTTGCCTATATTTTAATAACACTTCCCTTATGCAAATTGCCAAATCGTCACTAAGTAATTGCAAACACAACATGCAATTGCCATTACAGTTTGCAAAAACAAAATTTCTGTTTGTCAATTGCCGAACCATTAGCCACAAGACCTCTACCCTTTTATTCTTTTGTTCTTTGTTCATAGTGAGACAAGCTCCAAACCATCCCAACATCATATCAAACAAAAGTCATATAATATTTATAGATGCAAACGTTAGATATTATATATATATATATATATATATGCAAAAGTCATCCACTTGGCTTCAAACTACAAATTCAAGTTCACATATTACTTTTCACAAGCTCACAGACTAACAATAATAATAATCAACCAAAAACCCACCTATAAAAATAAACATTCATAATTCCAAATTGAGACTAATAAAGCAGAAAAAACAAAAGCAATAGCAGCTACTTGTGGTGTTTCCAATTTATTGGATGTTACCTCCTTCAAGCATTTTCATTGAGCAATTGCTCAACAAAGGCTTTTTTGATATTAGCATCAAGTGACTTGAATAGAGATATTGTTGAGCTTAAATGCTGAAGAGTTTTCAACCATATCAATATGGCTGAGAGTAGTTGCAGACAATGCCATTATAAACCCTGCAAGCAATACAAACAATCCAAACAAGATTGCCAAAATCATGAGTTCTTTGATTGCAAATGGAATTAATTGATGGCAAGAAGCAAAATCTTGTACAGTTACACTTTCCAAAAGAAAATAGAATTATGGTTCGGATAACAAAAGGATTGAACTTCTTACCAAAAAAACAAAAACACAGTTGGAAACAACATTTGGAACAAGCTGTACTTCCAACCATGCTCTTCAATTACCTTTGTTGGTTTTAAACATGATCAAAAGGTAGAATATATAAAATTTTGGGTTCTGAAATAAAAACACACATTTTTTTCTTTGGAAATCAAAAGAAAACTTGTTTTTTTTAGGTGGTAAATTGTAAATCAATCCAATCAGACCTTTTACTTTTGTGAAACTCCTCTCTTTCAAAAGTGAGAACAGAGCAAAAGCACAACAAGAAGAATTACCAGCAGAAGCAGATCAAAATTGAATCCCAAAGTTTCTTTTTTTATTATTTCTTATTCTCTCAACTTTATGCTAATTTGGGTTTGTTTATGTGCATCCTCTATCGCACTTTCTCCCAAGCTCCTTCTTCAACCTTTTCTTCTGCAGCAAAGAAAATGTCAGACATGAAAACCATTTCTTCTTTTTTCTATCTTTTTATATCATCATCACGCGACTATCCACAATGCTCCAATTCCACCCATCAGTTTGTTCATATATTCTGAATCTAAACAAAAACCCCATAATCAAAACAATTCAAAATTGAAAACCCTAGAAAAATACCGAATTATAATCCAACGAAAATTAACCAATACAAATCCTAATTTTCATCAGATTAAGCTAACTACAAACAACCCCATAATTAAAACTTAAAAATCAAACCAAGAAATAGTTTATTGAACCCATCAAATATCAATGTAAATAGAGAAATCGATGCTATTAGTAGATTTGGCATCAATTTCATAAATAACGATACTAAACAGGTATAAAGACATCATCACAAATTTTTGTTTATTTATGATGATGCCTTTATTCCCCTTTAGCATCATCTATATATATAAAGCAAAAGACAGAGAATGGTGAAACATTCAAAATACCAGAAAATGCCCTTGGTTAATTTAAACATTAAGAATTGAAATTATTAATTAAATGAGGATAATATGGTAAATTCACATTTTTTCATGTTAAAAAAATAAAAATAAAAATAAAATCAGATAATAAATCCTACTTTTATATAACATAACTACCCATGTTATCTTTTCTTAATTATAAACATAATATAAAAAAGGAAAAAGAAAACCAATTGGCACATGCTCAAGGGGCTAGTCTACATAACCACAAATGCCTAAAGTGATTAGTTTTTATTTTATTTTTAAGATGGTCATTTTTTTGGTAACATTCCTCTGATGCCTAAAGTCTGAGTCAACCCTAACCCAAAATGTTTACTCTTTCTCGCGAACTCTCTCTGAAACTTCAGCTCCCTCTCAAACTCTAGCCCCAATTACTTCTAGCTCCCTCTCAATTTTTTCACTCCTTCTAAAACTGTACCCTAAAAATTCATCTCCTGGAAAAATTTCTCCTTCAGTCCCACTATAACTCTTTCTTTCTTCTCTCTCCTCCATCACTGCCCCATTCTTGCTAAAACCATCAGATGCTCAACCATTATGATTCACAGTGAGAATCATTCTTCCATTCGACAATTCTCAAGCCAGCTCACATGATTTCTCAAGCCCAGAAATGCTCAAACAGAAGTTTAAGCTGACGATTGTGTGATTTCATCTATCAGTTCGAAGCATTTCCCTTTCCCCCAAAAGTTAGGGTTTTGATCACAACCCACACCTCCTCTTCTGATAAGCTTTTCTTCTCTCTTCATAACTAAAATTTAAGGTTAAAAATTCTTTCTCTCAATACTGGGAAAATCTTCAAATTTTAGTAATAAGCACCAGATCAATTTGTTTATATATATTTTTAATAGCTTTTTGCTGCGTTATGTTGCTAAATTTGTGATTGATTATCTTGGAACCTGCTTGATGGTTTAATCTGATTCCGTGGCTTGGTTTATTTGATAATTTGATTCTGTGGCTTTTGTATTTTCACGTAGAATTGAGTTTTGGGAATTTTAGTTTTTGATAGGTGTTTGCTTTCAGTCTAAGCTATAAACATTATTTATTTTTGTTTTTTTTTTTTTTTTTTTTTTTTTTTTTTTTTC